TCCATCCATCCATCCATCCATCCATCCATCCATCCATCCATCCATCCATCCATCCATCCATCCATCCATCCATCCATCCATCCATCATCTATTCACCATCCATCAATTCATCCATCCATCTATCCATCCATCCATTGATTCACCATCATCCATCCGTCCATCCATCCATCGTCCATCGATTCATCCATCCGTCCATCCATCCATCGTCCATCAATTCATCCATCCGTTCGTCCGTCCATCTGTACATCCATCCATTCATCCATCCATCCATCCATCCATCCATCCATCCATCCATCCATCGTCCATCAATTCATCCATCCATCCATCCATCCATCCATCCATCCATCCATCCATCCATCCATCCATCCATCCATCCATCCATCCATCCATCCATGCAGGGGGGTTCAACTGCTCTGTCCAGGAACTTTTTCAGATCCACAGCACCAAATATTTTTCCAGACTCCTACCATCACAATTAACTTTTTAAAGTGCAGACATCAAGCAAAGCATACAACCACATGAACAGACAACCACCAGACTGCAATACAGCTTCCTGCCTGAAGCTGTGAAGTCTGTTCAGTTTCAACATATTTACCTTTTGGACGTGATCAAGGATTGCAAATCATTTCTAGCTTTTTTCTGCTTTTTTTTTTTTCAAATAAACAAACAAAAAAAAAATAATGCAGTTTTAGTGCTTTTTTTTGGCATTTTAACTTAATCTACTTTAGGAGCCATGATCCTACAACATGAATTTAAAGAGCCCAACAGAAAGCAGCGGAGATTTGAAAATATATTTGTGCATTGTGTGCATTCAGTCAGCATGTCAAAAAGAAAAACACTGATTAGTAAATGTTGAAATCCAGGTTCAATTTGGAACAAAAGCTGAAAACTGCCCCAAAATTGTGCATTATTTCAAAACCAAGGTACTTATTAAGGAGTGTTGTTTCATTTTACCTTTAAACATGGTATAAGTAGATAACTGCAGAAGAATTAAACATGATCCCAACCTGGAAATGGTCAAAAGCAAATTCCAGACTATAAGAACCTTTGGTGGATTTAAACCAAATGAAGATACCATGGACTGCAAGTCTGACATTAACTGCTGATAGATTTTAAGATCACAGTGCTTTAAAATTCAAATTTTACGTTAAGGCTATTCTGCTTACATTTTAATATACTGCGTTCATTATTTATATTTATTTTTATTTAGGGAATTTTCTTGTGTAAAGCTTTTTCACTATTTGATTTCCATTAAAAATATTTTGCTGATACATGATTAGTGCTTCAAATGTAGATGAAGCAGTTTTATCTGACCAAGAATAATTTAATTTCAACCTCTAAATCTCCCCGTTGTAAATGCCCTCCTGTAACAATTATCTTTCATTTTCATCAGTTAAATAAAATCAGGCATGGTGGCCCCCTCCTGCTGGGGCTCCTGATCTGACCTTCTGTTCCCCAGAGCCAACATGGCTCCAAGTTGCTCCCCTTCATCTCATTCAGCTACAGCAAACACATCCTACCATCAGCTCTCACCACATCCTCCACGTCTCCATCCTTGGGTAGACAGAGAGGTGACCAGGAGACTGTGTAACCATAGAAACCTCCGCCGCGCGCTGCATGCTTACCTGCTCTTGTATGAGCTGAAACAGGGAGCTTCTATCCATATACTGGCCAGGGAGGTGAGAGGAGCCGCCGAGGACAAGGGCATAGGGAGGAGCGAGAGGAGAGGAGAGTCGAGGTGGCGTTGATGAGGAAAGGATGAGATGGAGGGAGATGTAGTTTGGTAGCAGCTGGTGCCTAAATAGTGGCGTCAGGCCGCTTCAGTGCTGCTGATGACAGTGAAAGCCTGGTGAGCTAAACCTCTGAGGGTTTTCTTTCAGATGGTGGATAAATCGGTGCTGCTGAGGTGTGCGTGGCTGGTGAGAATGGGCCGTGGGTCTGCTCTGTGTCAGTGTGTCGTGGCGCGGTGGTATACTCCAGCTCCAGAAAGACGACAGGCAGCCAGGCACGCAGGCAAAGGCAAAGGCAAGGCAGATCCAGCAGCACTCATTCACTCTGCTCCTCCGCCTCCTCGCTCTCCTCTATCCCATTGCACTGACTGCTACGTCTCTCGCTCTCCTCTCTCCTGATACACACACTGCACCGCCTGCATACCGATGAAGCAGGGGGAGGGAGGTGGTCTTATTCTTCCAATTGTAGGAAGGGAAGGAGTGGCAAGGGGCTGCGGCTCGTCTCCTCACTACGAGGGGCGTCTCAGGGATGAATCCACTGCGGCTTTACTTTTACTACAGACAGAATTACCCCACCCACCCTACATCACCACACACACACACACACACACACACACACACACACATGCTAGGTGTGTGCACCAATAGATAGTTGGGCCACAAGATGTCAATCAGATTTCAATCTGGACTTTCACCACCATTTATCCAAAGTCTTTATTTTGCCTTTTGTTACTTTGAGCCATACAGTGATGGACCTGCTGGTGTCGTTTAGGTAATTATCCTGTAGGATCCACTGCTGTCCCTAAACTGATGGTTGAACCTTCTGCAGGATTTTCTGCAACAGAGCAGAACTTATGGCTCAATCAAAGCAATTGGTCCTGGTGTTGCAGAAAGCAAAGCAGTCCCAGAGCATCATATTGCCACCACCATGCTTGGATGTAGGTTTATTGTTCTTTTTATCAAATGCTGTTTTAGCTTAATATAGATGTAGTTGCTCACATACCTTCCAAAAAAGGCTATTTTTTTCTCCCATTAATCCACAGCATGTTTTCAGTTTCTTTGTTATTCTTGAATTATTGACCTCAACTTTAACTCAGGCAAGTTAGGCCTACAGAGCTTTAGATGTTTTTCTTTTTCTGTTGCCCCTTGATGATTCAGTTTTCTCTTGAACTTAATCGTAGAAGGTTCCATATTGTCCATATTTCCTTCATTTTATTGTAGCAGTCCCCATCTATTTATGTATTTCTTTAAAATTATGTGTTCCTTTTGGGATCTTTTGGCCTACTTCATGATGTCAGTTAGGGTCTATTAAAGGGATTTATTGATTCTACAGATCTGGCTGTAGTCAAGTCTGCGTGTGGCTAAAGAAAATTAAATCTATTGCCAAAAAATGGGGTTTTAATTGCAGTTCCTGTGGGGATCTTCAATGCCTGCACCTTTTAGATGCGCCTCCAGCTGCGTTTCCATTGACCATCAAGTGGTGCAAATTGTAATTACAAAAATAAAGTTACACCGCAACTGTCCTTTTAACTGTCTCTCTTATTTAGTGGCAACATTGTTATGTTGAAACTGTGTTTTTTTTTCAACATTAGCAGAATATCAATGACATTTTGTACACATTTGTAATGGAACCACAGCTGCTGCTTCCATACCTGAATCAAAAGGCTGAATTACCTCCTCAGCATGAAGTCAAGTTCTCCAGAGGCCTGCTAATGACCTGATTATCAGGTGTGTTGAAGCAGAGACACATCTAAAAGGACATCAGTCCTTGAGGACTGGTATTGAAGACTTCTGCAGCATGATTTTACTTCTTTCACATAGGACCAAGATGGACATATTTTTCCCACAATAACTCAAAATTATTATTTTAAAATGTTCATCGTTTGATATCTATGAACTGGTATACCAATACCAGCTCTGTTCTAATGAGAAAAAACAAACCATTTGTATCCTGTAGGAAATTTCATACTGAACAAATGTACTCTAAATTGCTCCACCAAGCATATTAGATTAAATTAGACACATTGAATTGCTCCCTAGTCCATAGTTGAGCTAAAAATTTTACCCACAACAGCAATAAGACCTGACCTGAATCCTTAATGTAGCAAGTAATGATGAAAAAGGCTCAATATAAACTAAAAAATAATGAGACTACATGGAGGGAGTACAGCAAAAAGATCTTAACAGACAAATGATGGAAGAGAAGTTGTTCATGTGGGTAGGAGACTATTTCTGTATTTTAGTTTAAAAAGAGTTTCCCTGCTGAAAAACATCCGCAGTGACCTCCTTTCTGAGGGACAATGGCAATAAGAGTGAGGATGGGGAGATAAATCTCAGCTCATAAAAGTAGTGAGTGTTAAGCGTAGCTGTCTGTAGATGGGGATGTTGGCAGGGTTGGGAAGCAGTAACGACTTCAGCTCATGGAGGCTCTGATGTTTCTTGTCTGCCCAGAGATTTATCAGCAATGAACCGGACAAAAGTAAAAAATACTTGCCTACAATTCTGATTGTTTCCAATAAAATAAGCTCTTTAATGAAAAGGTGAAAACCACTGCAATCAATAACTGTTTTTCCCTGGGTCAGACGATGTTTAACTGAGTTTTCTAGAAGCTTGTTATTAAAGTCTGCTTTTTCCATTCCTAGATCAATTTTGTGAATGCTTTGGATAATTGTATAGATAATAGTTTTTAAGTAGTTCTAATAACTATGTTTGAATTCAGGCAACATTAAGCTTTAGATCAGAGAGCTGTATGGAACGGGCGTTCGTTGATGAGCAGCTGCTTCCAAATGTTGGATGGAGTGGTGTGAAGTATTCTTTGGATTGAGGACTCATGCCTCTGTCTGTCAAACCAGTGGACTATCAATTTAATATGATTCATTTCGATTCAGTTTTGTTCGGTTCGGTTCATTTTGATACAAGTTGATTTGATTACTTAAATTTTATTTCAATTCAATTTAATTTTGTCCCGTTCAATTAAACTCACTCTAGTTCTATTCAATTTAGTTAAATTCAATTAATTCCTTCGCATCTAGTCCTGTTCGGTTCAGTTTAGTTCAGTCCAATTCAATTTAATGTAGTCGAGTTCAATTAAAGCTATAGTGGAGGATGTTCTTTTTCCAGGTGGATCATCAAAATAATTGTCAATCATTCTAGCGATATGTTTGCGTAAGGTCGTCCTACGTTTTCGTCCCGATTTTCACTTACCGGTTTGTGAGTCTGACTAAATGGAAAAATTGCAAATCTTCTTTTGGAAAGTAAGCTTGTATGAGTGATGCAGAAAGCACCTTTTAAAGAGAGTGTGCATGAGGAGAAATGGGCTCTGGCAGGCTCTAGCACGAGTTTAATAGGTGTTCTCTCTCGGGAGCGGGTACAGGGTTGTGCATGTGTATTTTTAATTTTTTTTAACAGTGTCCTTTCTGGCAATGTGTCAATAAAAATAATTGTCTTGATGCCAAAAAGAGCCTAAAAGATTTTACTTTCACAAGTGGAGTAGTAGGGCTATTGCCATAGTGTTCCCATTGTTTTATGCATATAAATTGCTTTATTATAATTATGCAGGGAGTTTTACAGATTATGTGCATTTTTTTAAAGTGGAGAGGGCGGGTCTTATCAAAAATTCACGAAATTTCCCCACTATAACTTTAAATTTCAGTAAATTCAGTTCAGTCCAAATTTATTCAATTCAGTTCAATCCCATTCATTTTAATTCTATGCAGTACAATTCTATTCAATTAAATCCAATCTGGTCTGACTCAGCGCTCCTCGATGCAATTTCATTTGATTGGATTCAAAACAATTCAATTCAGGTTAGTTTTATGGGGCCAATTAATTACAGGCTGCCCAAAGTCCTAACTGCCATTTATCATCTCCGCCAAGGATGTTGTGCTTTAGGAGACTTTGCCTGTTTGTCTGTCTGTCTGTGTACAAGATAACTTGGAAAGTTATGGAGAGAATTTAAGGACTTATCAGAGGTTGATCTTATGCCAAGGAACATGGCATTAAATGCTGTTGATGATCCAGATCAGATAATCAGGATTTTTTTTTTTTCAAGATTCTCTGACATTATGAGATAGGGATATTTGTCTATAACAAGAGGTTCTCCACAAAACCAGAGGGTGGCAGCAGTGAGTGATGACAGCATAAGCAGCGGACTCCACAAGTTTGGAGGTATTTTACTGAGGACAAAAACACTAGCAAAGGGAACGTTGTTGGGTTGTTAGCAGGATCAATTGAAATCTTCTTAACAGATTTTATTGTCATTTTTTTTTACCCCAAGGAACAATTTATTTAAATTTGGTAATCATCCAGAACATGTGTGAGTTTTAGCTGTAGGTAACAGTTTGCTGCCCAGTAGGCAGTGGGTAGCACTGCTGCCTTGCAGCAAGAAGGATCTGGGTTCGATTTCCGGCCCGAGGTCTTTCTGCATGGAGTTTGCATGTTCTATCTGAACGTGTGTGAGTTCTCTCCAGGTACTCCGGTTTCCTCCCACAGTCCAAAAACATGACTGTTGGGTTAATTGGCTTCTCAAAATTCTCCTTAGGTGTGAGTGTGTTCGTGAATGGTTGTTTGTCCTGTTTGTCTCTGTGTTGACCTGCGATGGACTAGCGACCTGTCCAGGGTGGACCCAGCGTCTCGCCCGTAGACAGCTGGAGATAGGCACCAGCACCCCTCATGACCCCACTTGAGATAAGCATGAAAGAAAATGGATGCATGGACAATTTGCTGCTTAGTGGAGTTCTGCACTCTGACTGCTTTTCTAGTTTATTCTGTTTTTATCTATTTATTAGGCTCATTTTATTGATTAGCTCCAGCAAAATAATTAAACTAAAAAACAAACATTCTAAACTCCTAAATGAAAAGGAACAAAAAGAAAACTAATCTTGTTAACAGACTGAATTACTTCAGTTGAACTACTTCAATGCATTTATTAAGACCCTAGAAATACAATAAGCTTCAACATGCTGGTGAAGATTCTCAGTCATCCAGGTCATAGTCATTCCCAAAAAAGTAAAAAAAACAATCCACTTGACTTTGTTTCCAAGTTTAAAGACGTTTCGCTTCCCATCCAGGAAGCTTTTTCAATTAAAAGTGTCAGAAATAGTGTTGAGTTTTGAGGCTTTAATACAAAACTAATAGTTTCGTATTAGTTTTTTAACAAAACACAATAAGCATCAAACATATTCATAACAATTCAAAGATAATGAAATATTACATCTGTCCTTAAACAACTGTTGTTCACATTTTACGTTTGGTTTATTTTCAGCATATTCTCAAAACAAAACATGCTATTTACAATTGGACATAATAATTTACTCTCCCCTACAATCAGGCATAAATGACATATTCATTTAGCATAGCAAGTCCTTTTAAATGCAAATATTGATTATGATTCTTTGGGTTCTTTGTTCAGGTTGTT